TGATGGTCTACATGAAGCACAGCCTCCTGAAGCCTGGATCAGACGAAGATGATGTCTGGCTACCATTACAAAGTCTCATTAGAATGGAGCAAAAGCATAAATTGAAACCTAAATTCTTAAAAAAGATCAGACTTACTGGTATGATGGAATATGGAGGAACTCCCAAAACTACCCCCCTCGAGACAAAGATATTCCCTTTCAACAAGGGCTGAAATCTCTCTCCAAGGTCATCTTGGAATCAAATAATAGATTGGCATATAAAATAAACACTTCCATCAAGAATGTGCTCCTTAGGAAATTCAGACTATTTACTGAAGCCGTGTACCAACTACAGGAGACTAAAGGGGTAACATTTCCCCCAAAAGTAGCAATATAATGGCAAGGAGAGGCAAAGAACTAGAAGAATGAAAGGGGTAAAAAGGCCCAATGCAAGGTAAAAATAAAGAGAAGTTTAAAACAACACAAGGATAGCAACTGATGTATATGTGAATGGGAAACCAATGAGCTGTATAAGCTTTCACCTAAAGCATGATAATATATTGGGGGCACTGGGAAAATCTAATATAAAGGGGAGCTTGATACAATTATGTAAGAAACTAACACCCTAAAATTCAAAACTGCAAATGAAACCTTAAAATTCACAAAAAGCAAAGTAAACCAATCACTTGGAAATAAATATTTGAAACACTTTCCAAGGGCTGAAACTGTAAGTTACTACTGATACTCTAGGGAGGGGGGGAAAAAATCCAACATATTTGATGTTTCTAGAAGAGAAAAATAAAAGTAGGCTTATAAAATAATAACTGTGCACACACAGAAAAAGAGCCTATTTTCAAAGAAATTTTACACTGTATGAAATTAAGAGACGCAAAACCTATCGAAGGAGTTAAGAGCCTGTGACTCAAGAATTTTATACCCACCTAACCTGTTGTTCACATAATAGTCAAATAAAGACTGTAAGGGCTTTAAAAAATATTAGTCACTCCTTTATAGAATAAAAAATTTTAAAAATTATTTTTTCATTTAAAAAAATGTCAAGTAGATAGTCTTTTTGCTGTGTGCTATTAAGTCAAAACCAACTCATAGCTGACTCCCCAGCAGGTCTGCAAAGGTAGTACATCACATGGAAGGAGATTCTCCATCCTTCTGTACAGCAGCTCGTGGATTTGAACCATGACTCTTTAGGATTGTATGTAGCACAGCTTCTTATTCCTAAGTAACCAAAGCTCCCTCAAAAATATGATAGATACATACATCATAAAAATATTGGCAGTGAACCATGAAACTATTTTAAAATATTGTTTATATGGTTTTAAAATATATTTTAACAGCTATTTTGCTGCCTTAACTTCTCAAAAATATCTCAAAATCAGTTCAATCCAAAATTATTATTACTCATGTTCAGAAAAGATTTTTCTTACAATACTGAATTGAGTTTGCAATTTTGAAGGTTTTTTTCTAAATTTACCTGGCTTAAAAAAATAAAATTAAAAAATATTCCTGGATAGAGCGTCTTTATTAAATTACATTTTCTTCAATAATCTATTTAAAACTTGTGCTCTAGATTATTCAACATGGACTTTTCTACTCGGTTACACTTATACCTAGCTTGATTGTTGCTGTGTACTGTCAAGTCAGAACTGCCCAATAGCTGACCCGCCTGCAGATTTTGAGAGGCAGTAAATCATGCGGAAGAATACTGTCCATCTTTCACCCATGGAGCAGCTGGTCAATTTGAACTTTTGGGCTGACAGTGCAACTCTTTACCACTAATCCACCAGAAGACTATGCAAATGTGAACTATTTTTTAAAGTCTACCATTGAGGGTTCAATCTCTGGTGGCCTAAGTGGGTAAGGAGTTGCACTCACAAATCCAAGGCAGGCTGTTTGAATCCACCAGCTGCTTGGAAGAAAAATGCAATTCTATCATGCAACTCAAACCAATGCAGGGTAAACTATGAGTTGATTCTGACTTGCAGACACATACAAAGAAAATGGAACCTTTTAAAAAAAGATCACGTAGGGGAGCTCTGGTAGCCTAGTGGCAAGGAACTGCAACTACAATCCCAGAGGTGCATGGTTCAAATCCACCAGATGCTCTGCCGGGGAAGGAGAGACAATCTCCTCCTATACCAGTCAGATCTGATTTGACAGTACACTCACACAAATAAAAAAATTAAAAAAAAAAAAGGATCACGTAAATAAAATGTGCAGAACACTAATGTGGGGTCTGTTCAGACTGCCAGGCTAGGCTGCAAAGCTTAAACTAAAACAGACTCAGACCAAGAGAACATGACAGTGACTGGAAAGTGGAAGTTTAACACACATAATCTTTGGACTCAAGATCTCTCAATGAATGAGAGGAAGGGTTCTGGCACTGGAGAGTAACAGCAAGACAAAAAGCTACAGCACAGGTGGTGGAGACCAGATTGATGTGAAACAAAACTGTAGGTTCCTGGCTCCCTTCAGGAGAAAGCGAGTTGTTCGGTTTTGTGTTTTTTTTTGTGATGTAGACAGCTTTGAGTACTGGCTGTTGTTGTTAAGTGTTGTTGAGTCATAGGTGACTCCTAGGGACCCTATGAACAAAAGACCTGAAAACTTGTATAACTTTAATTTCTCCAAGTTCATAGGGTTTCCACAGGCAAGCTATTTTGGAAGTGTATGACACTCCTGCTTCCAAGCTTGTTTTAATCAGAGAGCTCCACCAACACCGTCTACCAAGGGTGACCACTATCACATTTGACACATAGGGTTACAGTGTTTAGCATTACAGCAAACATGAGTTACCTCTATACAGCAAAGGGACAGACCATTGCTATAACTACCTTGAGGAATGTTTGACCAAAAACAACTAAAAGCAGGCCTGAGGGCGGCAGACTAATATCACCCACCGTTGGCTTGAGAGCATCACTTTCTGTCCACAACGCCAAATGAGCTGTTTTTGTTGTTAAGTGCCATTGAGTCGTAGGCAACTCATAGCAACCCTAGGAATGAAAGACCTGAACACTTGTATAACTTTCATCATTTCTCCATGTTAACAGAGTTTTCAGAGGCAAGTTCTTTCAGAAGTGGATGCCACTCCTGCTTCTAAGCCTGTTTTAATTGGGGAGCTAGAGAAGGTAAATCTGCTGTCTCAGGGAGCTGGAGCCCTTTGGCCTAGGTTTACTGGCAGAGGTAAGATGGGACATTAACTAAGTGAGATAAAGGAGCTTTCCTCACCAAAGGCAAGAGATCAAAGCTTAAGGACAGACAAGCCTGTCCAACAGCATGCTGAAGAGGTGTTGCTGACTAAAGAATTGTAGCCTAAATGTTTCCAAACTGAGCTGTACTGTTAATTCCCTAATTGTATCATCTATGAATTTCTATGTGCCCATACAGGGAATGACGGAACTCTACAGAGGAATTAAGGAGTCATGAAGGGATGACTGGTGTTGGAATTGCAAGGTGCGGTGAGTGAGGGCTTTCTCCCTGGAACCAGTGTTGCGCAGCTGATGGGGAAGTCAGATGTGAATACTGCCATTCCTATAATCAGTTTTATAGAAATTCAATTAGTCACTGTTACTTCTCCAAGATAAAGTTCCTACCAATTTACACAACAATCACTGGGGTACCTCATAGAAATGTAAACTATCGGGTCCCATTATATTTGATAATATAATGGATTAAAATGCCCTCATGTAGGGCTTGAGAAAAGGATCTGTACCTTGAAAAAGTCATTTCCCCCATGTGATTTTAATAAATATTAGTATTTGAAGGCTACTGTCCTAAGAATCATTATTTCAACTTCACTCATCACTGAAGAAAGTTAGATATAGTTCTTCTTCTGTATCGAAATGAAGTGGTCACGAAACATAGCCCACACATAGAAATGATACTAGGCTATCAAAAACATTTTGTAGCTGAAGAACTGAATTTTCACTTTTTCTACATAGGAACTTTCCATAATACATGGGTTATTTGTTAGATGGAGGCCTAATTTTACGTTTGTGAAAAGCATGTTTAATTTTAAAATCTTTAAATGTACTGTCTGCTAGCTTACTATATCCACTCTTCTTTCCCTAACAAAAATGCCTTGTAAGGCATTACCACATGACTTGGTAAGCAAGATGACTTAGGCAAACAAAGGGTAAAAATAGTACTAGAAATCAAACTGCCCTTGCTCTTCCCAACTCGGAACTGCTTTCCTAAGTACAACCCTTGCTATCTTTTGCACAAATACTTTAAGATACAAATTACAGTAATGTCTCAGTAATTTTAAGACAAAAAGCTTTCAGAGTTGGAAAGTAAAAGTTGCTTGTTTCGTGTATGAATGGGTAAAAGGAAACCAATTTGCTCTGTAATCTTTCACTCAATCCACAATTAAAATGAATGGAAGCACCAAGTTTACAAAAGGAACCCAAAACCAAAAGGCTGTTTCAAACTCCAAACACATTCCTCAACAAGATTAATGTTTTAAAGATTAGAGTTGCTGGATAGTTCATAAACAGGTTTTTTTTTGGTGTTTTCTGTATTTTTTTTTTTTTAAAAAGGTTGTCAATGCATACATTCCAAGCAGACCTCAAGACATGAAGAGTAGGGTGGTTCCATATGACTTTCAATTAACGGCTTTTCAGAAGTAAATTGCCAAGTGTTTTGGTTTTTTTTTTCCCCAACTCGGAACTACCAAGCTTTCAGTAGGCAGCTGAGAGCTTAACATTTTACACCACCCAGAAACTCTCATTAGAACTCAAAATACAGAACTCAATTCAACTTTGATGAACACCTTAATCCTCTGAACACTGTAGACAATCTAGAAGCAAATGCAGAATAGGGTTTACTCTAGAAAAGGAATAACCCAGAAGGTCCGCACAGGCCTTTAAGAAAAGGTTTTACACTAATTTTTATACTAATTATTTGGTTACCTGCAGAGTAGAGTTCTTAATTTAAGGCATGTAAAAAACATCCATCCACATGCTTAACCCAATAAAAAGACTCTACACACATAAATGCTGCACTCTTACCCTACGCATGGCTTCCTCCTCTTCTTGACGCTTTTCATAATGTGCAAAGTCATCAAAGATTGAGGTGGTATGCTTGAAAGTAGCAATTATTTTAAGCACTTGCTTAGCTTTTTCTAGGGGTACCTCTTGAGTGTCCCTTGAATTGGTAACTGGTTTGTTGTCATTATTTTCTAAACGAATATGCCGTAATTGGTTATTGGGAACATCTTTGACAAAGATCCATTTAACCTCAAATTTGCCCTTCCACTTATCCTGAGACCAGACACCAGCATATGCATTATAGTCCACCACAGACTTCATTTCAGCCACTCCACAAAAGTGTCCACTACCATTCACGCTGAAGAGTAAATAGAGTGGACCTTTCCCATTCAGTGAACGGTACGCTGCATCCAAACGCTTATTACCATGCTCAGTACTACACCAGATAGAATACTTAATTGAACGATGGATATCATCTTCAGAATAGCTTTTAATTATAAACACACGTCCATTCTTCAGGTTCCAGTCAAAGTCTTTGGGATTATAGTTGTTTATGGCCTTTAGCTTTTCCAACACAGGATGCACTTCCACATTAGAAGGTGAAGCGCTGACAGGAACAACACCTAAACCAAAGTTTTCGTTGCCTGCTCCATTGCTCTGATTGAAGCCTGTTCCCCTGTTGCGAGGAGCTACCCAGCGATTCTGCATCTGCTGCTGTTGGGGCTGTACTTGGTGAGGCTGGGCCTGTGGCTGAGGTCCTTGTTGCTGCTGTGGTTGTGGTGGCTGAGGCTGCTGTTGAGGCAGTTGGCTTTGCACCAATGGTGGTGGTTGAATTAATGGCTGAGGCTGCTGGATTATAGTTTGAGGAGGCAGAACTGGTTGGGTTGGTGGAGCCTTTACCACTGACCCCTTTTCATCCCAAGTTCCAATATTCATGTTGTGTTTTATAGGAGGTGGCGGAACAGAAGAACCCCCAATTCCCACATTGCCCTTGGGTTTAAGTTTCGGTTGAGGTTTGGCAGGCTTTCTGGCAATGGCAGCCCATGAGGTTGGTTTAGGTGCTGCACTGCTCACTGGGGGCACACTATTGGCTGCAATGCTAGTCATACCAGTGCTGCTCAAGGCTGTACCTACAGTTTTTGTTACTGCAGCTGTCAGGTCACCACCTATTTTCAGTCCAGTCATGCCTTGCTCAATACTGCTAATGCCAGGCACCTTACTCAAAGTATCATTGCCAAATCCAGCCTGTCCATCAGTAATAGCTCTCCCAAGAGAACTAGGTGGATAGCCATAACTGCTACTATAAGCAGAACTTTGTGTTGATTGTCCCTGAGATCCACTTGTCCCCCATGTAGAGAAATCAGCATTACCAGGAAAAAAGTTAAATCCATGTTGACCAAGAAATGGAGGGGTATTTCCTAACGCCCCAGGTTGACTAAATACCCCGTCTGGTATATAATGATGCTCTCCATTACTCATTTGTCCATAGGTTGTCAGATAGGGCATTGGTTGGTCTCCAGCCGTGGACCATGCTGCTTCACCCAGAGAATATGGAAATCCAATGGACGGAGCATAGTAACTAGGCATGTATGGATCTGACATTGGTGGATAGCTGTTACTCTGGAAAACAAAAGACCACAATCAGTAATGAAATGTCCTCTTATGAGTAGAAGAGAAAAAAGACATCTGAATGATTAAAACAAAATCGTTTTAAACAAATGTAAGACTTACCTGTTCTAGACAAACAAAACTAAAATTTCAAACCCAATCTTAGCAATAGAAAAAAATAGCTGATAAGCACTTTAATTTTAAAATAACTATGATAAACTAATTTTATAAATTTTTATATTACTTCTAAGAGCTTATTCCTCTGGAAATGTTTGAAAATACTGTATACATTAAGGCAGATATAGAGAATAAATAGATTAAAGGCACAAATTTATCCATTTACAGTCAGCTGTATTTTTAATCTGCTTTAACGAGTAATTAATATTCAAGAATATAACTTAAAAAGTATCAAATATAGTGGATTATGAATTTATCTATATGGTGATTAGCATTTATTAGTTCAGCTACTAAACACTATATTTTCACAAAGAGAAAAATAAAATGGAAAGATGCTCACACCATGAGAGGGGAAAAAATAAAATTCAACAGTTATTTCCATGACATAACACAAATTTGTTTTATATTTATGTGCATTCATTCTGGAAAACAAAATAAGCCCTTAACAAATTTTTCCTAATGGTAGGATAACGTAAGCTCATAAACATGTCAAACAACTATGAGTTATCATCTCACTCCAGTAAGAATAGCAAAATTTAACAGAGCTTCAAACAACAAATGTTGGCAAGGTTGTGGGGAAACTAGAACCCTTATCTACAATTTATAAAATACCCGAGCACCAATACAAGATAAAGGTAAACACATGAATTGAAAAATGGGCCCATGATATGAACACACACTTCTCTAAAGATGACATTCAGATGGCTAACAAACATAAAGAAATATTCAAAATCCCTAGCTCTAAGAAAGATACAAATCAAAACAAGCATGGGATATCTTCTCACCCCAGTAAGAATAGCAAAATTTAACATAACAGCAAACATCAAATGCTGATGAGGTTGTGGAGAAACTGGAACCCTTATTCACTGTTGGTGGGAGTGTAAAACGGTGCAACCACTATGGAAGGCACTTTCTCAAAAGGTTGCAAACAGACATACCACTTGACCTAGCAATTCCACTACTGGGAATATACCCTAAAGAAACCATAACTACCACCCAAGCAGATATATGCACACCCACGTTTATTGCGGCTTTGTTCACAATAGCAAAGAGTTGGAAACAATCCAAGTGTCCATCAATAAACAAATGGATAGAGAAGCTGTGGTATACTCACACAATGGAATATTATAAAGAACTCATTATTATACAAAACGGTGACCATGGCAGAAATTATGCTGAGTGAAATATCTCAGTCACACAAGACCAATATTGCATAATGTCATTGTTATAAAACAGGACTTACATGGGGGTTGTGATAAATCTTTGTTTAGTAGATCCTGACATATTCTAGTATTTTTTTCCTAAATGTTTTATAAATTTATACTTAGGTGTATGAACCATGTTGAGTTATTTAAAATAAGAAGCATGATTTAGCTCAAATACCACTTTTGCCCATGGATGTCTACTATTGTAAGATCACAATAAAGCATTTATTAGCTATGTAAAAGGGGCCAAATTACCTAACTTCTGAACTGCTTTCTCACTATAAGGAAATAGTGTGCAAGACACATTAAGCAGCATCTATCAGTTCTATTTACTAAAACTATTTGCCTCTTTCAAAATGTAAATGAATCCCCATTTACCTGCTTTAAGATAAGCCTCGCCCCAATTTTTAAATTATGTAAAAAAAACCCAGAGTATCGTGATGTAAAACCCTAAGACACTGAGGATACAATATCAATGTAATAAAGTAATTACTAAAATAGAGAAACAATTTTCAAGTCCTAGCATATGATAGTAATTATCCTACATTATGATTATTTGTTAACTAATAATCTTAGGAAAACTGTAAAATATTGGGAGAATTTATCAAAATATGACACAGGACAAGTGAGTACATGCTGTTGGAAAAAAGAGGCCAACAGGCCCACTTAGTGCAGCGTGGTCATGTTACCTCCAATTTGTATAAAATGCAGTGTCCATAAAATACAACCAAAAAGGGCACAATCAAACAAGGTATGCTACAGTAGTAGTCAAGGATCATTATTGCTGTTTGTTGAGCATGTCTCATACTGACCTTATGAATAAAAGACCTAAAGCTTTTCGATAATTATAATTTCTCAAAGTTCACAGTTTCCAGAGGCAAATTTAGGACGTGGATGTGACATGGGCTCCATTTTTCATTCTTCTATTTTCTATGTTGGGGATTTCATTTTTTAATTTCTCTCAACTTGTTTCTTCATTGGTAAAATGGCGATAATTTGCTGCTCCAATCACTTACATCACCCACCTTTGTTCTGGTAGCATCACTTTCTGTCCACTAGGCCAAATGATTTCTCTTTATGATATTGTTGTTGTTAAGTGCCTCTGAGTCCAGCTTGAACTGAGAGCCACAACACACTAGCCTTCAGCCTGCAGCATGGCCAAACATTTCAGTATTTTACAATTCTGGCATGCCCAAATGCTGGTGGTTGCTGTGATACTGAACACTGCGACACTGATGTGCCAAATGCGATAATGGTTACCCATGGTGGATAGTATTTGGTGGAGCTCCCTGATTAAAACAAGCTTGGAAGCTTACAGCAATTCTACAGGACAGAGTAAAACTGTCCTCAAAAAACTTGCACCCCAAAGGGTTTTCTTTAAGATTCAGAGGCTGTAAATCTTTAGAGAAGCAGATTGCCACATCCTTCTCTGATGGAAAGTTCAAACCAGTCACTTTTGGTGAGCAGCAGAGCACAGTAAGAACTGGCAACTAGAGAAACTAAAGAGTTCAAAATGCTTCAAAATCCTAAAATGACTTCTAAATTAAAAAGAAAACGTAAATTACATTCAGCTGTTTTCATGTATTTCCTTCCAATATTTGAAAATATTGTTCTTTTTAAAAGTATACATCTAATCTTAAGGATGTTTTAAGAAAAATAAATTATTTCATCAGTCATAATTCTTCATTTCCTAAAGAAGATAACCAAATCTTTCACTTAATATTAATGACTGCCAACTGTATGCCAGTTACTAGGGATCAAAAGGAAACAAGGTCTCTGACCCACAGTACATCAGTCTAATAAGGAAATACCCTCCAATGTCATAGGTGTTATAATTGAACTACAAAGTAAAACAAACATAATGCAAGAAGGGACAATAACCAGGAAATCAGAAGACTGTATAACACAAGAGACTTGCACGTGCGCACGCGCACGCGCATCTCTAATACTCATCAAAGAAAATATTAAGAATGTTTTTAATATTCAGAAAGAAATGGAAAGTTCATTCCCCTGAATAAATCTGACAGATACAGATAGTAAGATGGCATCAGAAAGAGGAGTGGAGATTTTTTTAAAAATCATTTTATTGAACATTTACAGAGATTTTGGATTTCCATTCATTCATTGTTGCACTTCTCTCACCGCCCAGCCGCCCCCCCAAAAGTAAAATACTCCCTCCCTGGTACACAATCCCACCGCCCCAAGTATATTCCACTATGCAACCTTAATTGTGGACTCTTGTGATAACCATAATACCCTATTATACATCAGTTTTAAATTATTCACCCCCTCATCTGTTTCAGTGCAAAATACACAATTTATCCAGTTTTTCTGTCTCACCCCAACCCTGATATCAGTCCCACTTTACAGCAGTGGCACCATGCAATATTTGTCCTTTTGCAACTGATATATTTCACTCAGCATAATGTCCTCCAGGCTCACCCACTTTGAATAATATTGCATGAGTTCCTAGTTTTTCAATGCAGCGTATTATTCCATTGTGTGAATGGAATACTACACAGCTTCTCTATCCATTCGTTTGTTGATGGGCACCTGGGTTGTCTCCAACTCCTTGCTACTGTGAACAGAGCTGCAATAAACACGGGTGTGCATATATCTGGCTTGGAGTGTAGATGTTTTAAGAGCACCCATCCAGTAAATGCATCTGTATCAGAAACCAGTGGTCATTCTTTAACTCACCACAGACACATCAAACATGTTTCAAATTTTTTCGTGATTTAGATTTACTCAAAGATGTCTGTGTAGTAATAAAAAAAATTCCATTTTAAAGGTGGTGATGGGCCAGAGGTGGAGTTCCGCCGCCAGACGGGCTGGGAAGAGACCCAGGAAGAGCAATAGTCAGCCATCCACGCGGAACTCCAGATGAGTGAAGACTACCCGCCACTGTGCGACCCCCCCTGCAGCCCGCACCTGTGTGACCCACGACACAGGGTGCTGTTGCATAAACAACCAGCAGCGCCCAAGCCCCGCCTCCACCTCTTGGTGGTAGTGTCCAAGCCCTGCGCTCCTTACCCCCCTAGTCCTCAGCCCCCACCACAGTCCTGTGACCTCAGGGCACCACCGGGGATCCAGCCATCACCCAGAGCTATCAACCGAGCTGTTGTGGAACTAACTAACCTGGCAGAAGAAAGGCCGGAGTCTAGAGTGATGACTACATGGTGGAATGGACCTGGGAGAGGGTTTGTAAAATAATGAAGGAATCTTTTCTTTTACTTCTCCAAGAGGGTAATGTCTGGGCGGGGGGGGGACCCTTGGGAGAGGACAAATCTAAACAATGAATGAATGGAAATCCAAAGCCTCTGTAAATTTTCACTGAAATTAACAGGAAATTTAATTTAAAAAAAAAAAAGAATTAAATTAGAGTAAGGATGGCAATGGAACCACCTTACCTCTGTAACTTGATTTGTGCCACTATTAGAACCTCTACTCAGAATATTATTGCTTTTCCATTTTTGACTCATGCACTTTTAACTTGTTAAATTTGTATCTTCTAGGCTGCAACACTTCCATGATACATCTTCAAGGATATGAACATGTACAGCTAAGCACAATTGATAACAGTGCATCTAAATTCCAAAATCAATCTCCATAATAGTTTATGTGTTTCCTACTGCCAAGGGGGCCCTTTAGAGTAGTGAGAGAAGACATTCACCCTGAAACCCACAGCGTCCCTTTTCACCAGGAAGTAGCTAAGATAATACGCCATCCCCTTTTCCTTATGAATCAGGGTGAAGTCTCTCTCAGGGAGGAGTGATAGGGAATGGCAAGGGACACACTGACAAAGGAGATTAATCAGAACTGGCTTTGACAAGCACTGTGGCAATTGGACAATTAAAACAGACATGGGGGGGGAAGAAGTACAAACTGGGGATGAGGGTGGAGAAAACAGTGCAACAATGAATGAATGAAAACCCAAAATCTCTGTAAATGTTCATTAAAACTAATAAAATTTAATAATAAAAAAATAAATAAAGGTGGTAATGGTAAAGATGGGAAACAGCAAAATTCAAAATGAATTTTGAACCTCCTCCTCAGCCTGACAAGGCAAGAGTAACACTTGCTGTTAATGGTTAAGGTGGACATCAACTTGGCTGGGCCATAATACTCAGTAATTTGACAGTAACAAAATAAGCTAGCAATCCTGTTTTCACAGCACAATGAATTTGCAAAATAAGCTGGTCTTGGAAATGTATGTATTTTCATATTTCCCCACAACACTTTTTTTATAAACCTAATTAGAGATTTATTTCCTAAAGTATATAAGAATATACAAGATAACAAAGTCAACTTCAGGTTTTGGATATATTCTTCAACTTTTATGTATAAATTACTTGGCATCTTTAACAATTGAAACCTGAATTTTCAATCAACTTAATTTGAGGTATTACAAAAGAAACCTAATTTTAAGACCCAAAACACTATCTACTTTGAAAATATAAAAATTATTCTCTGCTATGAAACATTAAATATATAAACTTTCTAAGTAAACCAACATAAAACAACAACTTATTTTAAAAAATTATTCTCTATGAAATTGAGCCTCAGGAAACAAAAATATGCTGCTACAAAAATAGAAAGGCAATTAAAAAGTATGAGTTGGTTTGACCTGAGTTAGACTTCAAGTATACAAAACAACTGCAATTATGAGTTAAAACAACTTCTAGTTAAAACAACTTCACATGCAAGAAACTTATTTGTTATTATAAATTTTAAATTAGGTAAAAGGATATCATTTTAAAGATGTCCTATAGAGTTAGCTGGAAAATGTTCAATTAAGCAATTATGTTAGCTAAGACAGTTCAAACAACTTAAATTCTGATTTCTAACCCTTGATTTACTCCTCCAGTTAACCCAGCTTTCATTAACTGATGTTAAAATACACACACACACACACACACACACACACACACACAGCCTCATCGTAGACAGTTATTTTTAGTATTGTAGAAAGATGGTTGCTAAAAACCTACAATCATTTCATTTAGTCCAGCACTGGTAAAGAGAAAGGTAAAAAATAGTGCCTAACAGAAAAAAACTTTAACTATAATATGAATATTTTGATTCAAGAATCATGAGTTAATGATTTCATTACTATAAATCATTTAACCATTTGAGCATCATATGAAGTCAAATATTTGATATATTTCTTTGCCTAAGTAAGACTTTTATGATGTTATTTAAAAAAACAATTTAGGTTCACTAAAGTGAGTATCTATAAGCATAAAAAAAACCCCCAGAATAACCTAAATTTTTATAAATGAAATTTTACGCAGAACAGGAAACAAGGAGCAGGGCACCACCTGGGTTCCAGCATGGCAGGCTCCCAAGATGTCCTCCCTGACTTCCTCTAGCTGCCCCTCAAGCACCTCGGTGCAATGCCAAAAACTACACTAAGGCCCAGAGACAAATAATGACAAAGTATAAAATATCTGTTACCAAGTAAAACAAGTAAGAGGATTCACTCAGGCAGCAACTGCCAAATGATGTTTGATATAGTCCACCAAGATTTCTTGAAAACAGAGTTCGAACAAGCAAGTTAAGAGAAGCTTCATATTTATTACATCCTCTTAGAAACTGCATTTTAATATTTAAAGTAAGATACCAAGTAATAAATGAACCGATTCAATTGTTTAGCACAAATAATTTCCCAAACTTATCTAAGAACTAAGAAATATGGACTAAACTTCACTGCTGTAGGTATGTTAACAGAGATTATGGTACAGGTCTAAATATACTAAAAGTGTGTTTCCTTTAAAACTTTCTTTAAATTTTTTAACAATGATCTTTCCTACAGTATAAGCTTTCTCAACTTGTAAGTAACAAAATTTTTTTGAGATAATCAAACTGATTTTATAGTCACTTGAGATTTTTCACTCTTACTCTTTTCTACTTAATCATCTCTTCCAGTATATGCCAAGACTGCAGTTTAGCAGAGAGAAAGCAGTGGTTAATGGGACATGACCAAGAGAAATCAAGTTGTAACCACACCTTTCTATAGTCCCCAAAATAATACTTTGTGGTACAAACGGAGAACTACTTGTTTCAGATTTTCTCTATAATTGTACAAAAAATTTCCAGTAATATCTTTTTATTAATATATGAAGACCAAATAGTTATCAAATATCACAAATTGTTTTTTAATGACTCAACTAAAATTATTAATGTGTATAAATCAAAGCATTATGTAATTTTTAAAAAGCAAACATAAACACAAATGAATGTCAACAGCCACCAGTGGTTATTCAACATGATGAAATTCTCTATGTTCACAATATTTAATTAAATGTTAACAAAAAGTCTAATTCTATTTCCCAAAGTTACTAAGTAAAAATTTTAATAGTTCTTAATGAAATTAAAATTAAATGCCTTAAAAAAAAAATAAATAAATGCCTTACAAAAAAAAATACATCACACTAAATTTTACCCAGAAATTCCAGGATATACTAGGTTTCTTTCCCTAAATGTCTATCTCGGTTAAATATTTCCAATTCTACTTAGCATGAAGAAAGGGTTACCAACATTAAAATATTAAAATCAACATTCTAGGGAAAAAATAGATCAAATCAGTAATACATAAAGATGTAATCTTCATCTATCTCAGAACCAAGCTTCCCACTATCAATGTCTAAAAGAAAATTCTCTTCCACTATAAATTTGCAACTGCTATTTATTATAATTATGTTGTGGTTAGTCTCTCTCAGCTAAAATCTATTTGAAAATTCATTTATTAAGTTTAAATTCCTAAAACATAAAACTATAAGACAACTTACCTGATTTGTCTGGCTACTTAAGTATGGCTCAAAATCATCATCATTTACAGCATCTTTTTGATGAATCGAACCGTTTTGTACTGAAACTAAAAAACATGCTTGTATTAGATGTATCATAATTAATCTTCATGAAACTCACAACTTAAGCTAACATTTTCAAACTAAGGAAAAGTTATCCTGAATTCTGTTACTTAAAAAACTCTCTAATGAATAAACTTTATTTTAGATACAATTCTATGCCACAAAATTTTCACTTTTATATACATAAACCCAACATTATATAAATGTAAATGACATATTTTTTCCATTACCAAAACCATAAAATAACTCAACTTCGGCACCACAGCAAGCAAAGTTTTATGAAAGTTGGAAATGGCTCCCTGATTCTGTATTAGAATTTAAAATATATACTTCAAACAGTGCTAAAAAAGTTTGATTTCTAAATTAAACTTCTATGATATAAGGAAGGTAATATAGAATCATTTTATCTATTTTGGTTACTGAAGTCACAGTAAATGTCTCCAGTAAAGTGGTTCTATACATTTAAAATAGTATCACAAGAAACTATACTTACAATCACAAAAAATCTAAAAAGTCTTAATCCTATGGCAAATAAGATTAAGACACCAAGGTAACTCTTAAATCACATGAGAAAGCCTGGTAGAAAATACCTTATTAAGTCAATTTGTTCAGAGATTATTCTATGAAGCTCTCTAAAGTTGTTATTCTCTGGCATTCTGCCCAAAGAGTGTTTTTAACACTGTGGGTATAAGAAGGTCCAAGGTTTGTATTCCAAGTTTACCACCTATGAGGCTGGGTAGTCTTCCTTAAGTGATTCCCTCTAATCCTTTCATTACGTTATCTGTTCAAGATTATTAGTATTACTACCTCATCTCTTTGAGGATCAAATGACAGTATTCAGTCATTTTGGATACATTACACCAAATTACAAGATCCAATTATGCCTCATTATCTCACAGTCATCAAATTGGAACCGACTCATAACTGACACTTCAGTGGGCTTCCAAGGCTGTAAATCAATCTCATGGGAGATTGTCCACCTTTTTCCCTCAGAGACAAGGCTAGACAACTGCCTACACACTGTACCACCAGTTGCTGTGTGCTGTTGAGTCAGAAGCAACCCTTAGCTGACATTCCAGCAAGTTTTCAAAGGCAGTAAAAGGCACTGGAGGAGACTGCCCATCCTCTTCCTGCAAAACAGCTGGTGGATTTGGACTGGGGGTACCTTTTGGATTGCAATGCACTAGGCCACCAGAACTCCCTATGCCACCTATGCTTCTTCAAACAGATCTAGAAATGACTTTTTTGTTACAAGTCATCAATTCAGAACTGACTAATAACTGACCTTCAAGAGGGTTTTCAGAGACTATAAATCACATGGGAGGAAATAGCCATCTTTCTCGCAATACGCAGCATGTAGATTTGAAATGCCTGCCTTTGGATTGGTAGTGCAACCAGAGCTCTCTTAGGGTAACAAAAACCAAAGACGCTTCACTATAATAAAAGAAAATAAAATATGGCAGCATTGTCCATATAAACACACTACACTACTTTTAAAACACAAGATGAAAATAACTGTGTTTCTGATGTCTGCTAATCTTCCTAGAAACAAACGAATATGTGAAGATTTACTGCTTTAAAATATTCCATCACAAATCAATCTGTACTAAGGCTGGAAAAAAAGAGGTTTTAATTAGTTTCTGTGACACTTTTAATATACCTCACTTTACCAAGGATTTTTGACCACCGAAAATGTCAATTCATGACTTGATAATGAGAGCAACAACATGTAAAATCCCAATTTTCTGTCATTTACTGACTAGCAAAGACTCTTCAAAGAAAAGCTATTCTATAAAGCCTTCAAAGTAGATGGTTCATGATACTGCATTGACCCTCAGAGGCTGTGGAGGCACCGAAGGTCAACTTGATCCCAGCTTTGCTTGAATGGTTTAACTATCTGAAGAGGGACTCATCAGGGTTGAACTGAAAGTTCTCCCAAGAGTTTAAATATGCATTAACCACTAGAAGCAAAACAAGAGAATGCCTTCTGGTGTTAAGTTAAAGCTAAGGCTAATCTTTTCCACCCTAAAGATTCTACTATACTTCTACTGGCTGTACTACATGAAAAGCAGTCAGTCACGCATGGCCTACTTCACTATTAGACTATTACATTATTATCTATGGGTCAATATTTGAAACAATAAACCATTTCAAAGTCACAACTATCTATTTCTCAAGTTCTTGGAAACTTAATCCATACAGCTACTCTATTCCAAAAACCACTACTTATAAAAAGCAGTTGACATTTCCTCCTGCTCTGTTCCTTTCTCTTTGTACTAAACAGTCTCCTATCATTTTTAAATGATCCATAAATACATTTTAAAATATCCTAAAATATTATTCAAAGAATAAGTCAAATTTAAGATATATATTATTAAAACTATCTCTCACTGTATGTTGCAGTAAATTAGAATCCAAATAAAATGCCAGTCCTTGAGTTTCAGAAGCATACCTTCAATTAATTCAACTGTCAGAGACTTTAGGTTTTTTAGTATTACTTAATGATGCTCTAATCTTGGAGACTGAAAGCCATTAAGTAGTAATGAAATCCCAGTCAGTTCCATAGTCTGTAAAAGATCTCCAGGGAAAAAAGAACAGATGACTTACATGATCCTTCGCCTGTTTCCTCTGCTCTATGAAGCAGAGTCAAATCAAGATAGAACATGGGCCTTAGGAGCCAGGTGATTCTTTGCTCTGGTCCTGACTACATCAAGTTAGGAAAGTCAACAGATCTGTGCATCATGTTTTCCCACCTACAAAAACAGCGACAATACCATATACCCTCTATCTCCTTATAGGAATGTTTTGAGGATTATTAATAAAATGAAGCCTAAAATAATGACAGTAAAGTGCTTTGAAATAATTCCTGGCATTAAGGTGTAAGAAGAACATAAAATAGAATATTGCCAAACTACAAAGCAGTTTCCACTACTTTTTGAAATATTAAAAAAGATCCAACATCAAAGTAATTCTTTCAATCTGCAAATATGTAAAACGATGCACATATATATTCCTAGTTCAGAAGGGAAAGTAGAGGATAAACAGAAAAAAAAAATTCTTTTCCATTATTTGTCAATATATCAAGTTAATAGACAAAGAAAAGCAGTCAATAAAGACTAAGATTATAGGGAACATGGGATCTGACACGTTCATCCATGGTGCCCTCAAGGAAGAAACCACTTTCATTCCAGCAACCAAAGCTACTTCTTAACAAATCAGTAAAACTGTTATATTGTCAGTATTAAATTATACATCATAAAAGATTATCCTGCAGTTTCTACTACCCTTATGTGTCAAACTGTGCCAAAATTAACAAAAAGTGTAGATTTTTAACAGAGGGACAGTTTTTTAAATTAAAAAATAATTCCAATTTATAAAACCAAGATATTAAAAAGTACTTTGCTTTCCAAAGAGATTCATATAGATTTCCTTTCAAATTATGACTGTTAGTGCATTTAAGTCAACAAAGATTACAGGAAAAAACCCTCTGCAAAAAAACCAAAATATTAAGGAAGCCAAGAGTTAGGCTTCTATTGTTAAATGAAGAAAAAAAAACCCAAACACCAAAACAAGAAACTAAAACTACAGCACCTCCAAATGTGCCAGAAGACAGTGAGACTGGCTCAGCGCAGGGCAGGGTTCAGAGCTATTGCATATAGCGGCATATGAGCAGATGACTCAATATCAACAATATCAGGTAAAGTCAATTAAAAAAAGACTGCTTTTAAATTTAGCTAACAAAAACTTAAAGGGTTATTTTTTTCCCATAAAGTGTGATAAGTTCCAAATTCACTACTCATTTTAATAGTTAAAGGAAAACTGCCTTCTGCTTACTAAAACAAACAGAATAAGTGTAAAATGTCTTTACTAACTACAGCAATGTAGTTTTTCCAAATACTTACATAGCTACTTGTATTCATTTACTGAATGTGCTGCCACTGCCTTGGAATTCTTCTTTCAAAGGCATAAAAGTAAGGTACTCTTGTAGCATCTTGAAAGCAATTTATACAATCACCTAAACTTTAAAGCCAATAGTTTTTCTTTCCTGTCATAACTGAGGCGATGGATTCTTAAAAATACACGAGGGGGGGGGTAAAAACAACTCCAATAAATACAATGGCTACTTGAATAGCAGACTATACTGATTGTAATTACAACAAAACTCATAACTTTCAAAGGGATTTATCAATAGGATTATCACTACACATTTTACAGATAGGGGGATGTTCTGATATATTGAAATGTGTTCAAGCTCACTTGGCAAGTCAGTAGCCACAGGCAGTATTAGAACTCAGGTCTCCTGGGAATCCCAGTCCATCATTCTATCCATGGATGAAATTATGAACTGAACAGTAAGGGGGAAAGAAAGTAAATTCTTGGAATAAAGAACTATCCAAATAAATATTTTGTGTGCCTTAATACACCTAACAGAGGTGATACTGACAGATTTTTTAAATAAATAATTATTGATTTTGAAATAGTTAATAAGTAATATAGTTGATAGGTCAGTGGGATATACTCTAGTGAAATGACTATATCCTACTGCAAGCTTTAAGTTTACTACTGTCTTATAATGTAGATGATCTACTTTGTTTTGTCAAATAAGTTAGGAAGTACTTCATAGAACTTGCTTACTTACCTTAAAGCAGGTAACACAAAACACTTAGCATTTCAAATAGCCTTGCAAAGTGCCACCTCCCCACAGATCTAGGATAAAATAATTTATGCTAGGCAATAATAACCACAATTTTGCATATCTCCAGGCCTATATACTTTCTAATAGTAAACTAGTAAAAAAGAAATTCATAAATAATTTCTAAAGTTACAAAACTTTTAGAAATTTATTTAAAATAATGTTCAACTCTAAGTTATACTTAAAATAGAAAATTCTGAAAACAAAATTTCCAAATGTCTGCAGAATGCAGGAATACACTTTAGTCAAAACAAAGCAATAAATTTATGTTACTCAATATAGTGTCATATAGCTGTTAAATATAAATTGTACAACAAAGCAATATAAAGAATATAATTTCTAAAAGGAACATGCAGAATAACCAACAAATTCTAATCAAATTTTAAGACAGTAAATAAAAATCCAAGGAATTTTAAAATTACCACTAAGATATACTAAACTTACATCTACAATAAAATACTATAGACCTTATAAGCAGAACTTTGCAGCTAAAAAGCAGACGTCTAAGTGTCTTTAGTGTAAGTCACAAACATTATATAGTTCACAGTAGTACTATTCAACTGGCAATGACCCAGGATAAGTTATTGTTCTTTAGTTACTAAAGTCATGTGATTAATGTCATGTTTTAGTCAGGTGACTACACTGCTGCATGTTAAAAATATGAGAATACTTACTTGTAAAGAAGCTTTTAAAAAGGAAAAATCGTATCATCTGGGCATAAACCTCACAAATTATCTTCTTGGGAATCCTTTCTAAAATATCTGACTAAGTCACACCTTGCAATTAAGATTATATAGCAAGGTGAAATGCTTATTCAATTTTAATTTCACATAAGCTAGTTATCTCCATGTAAGTGACTTCAATACAATCAGTAATCAACACCCCAAGAGCTTTTATTAGTGTGGCATGGACTGCAACGCGGGATGCATGTTCCACTAAAAGCAGACATGTCAAATCAAAATGTCCACTGTATGCACATGCTTGTCCACACTGGTAGAGACTGTTGAGGCTGAAGTTACATAATCCAGGAAACTGAAAAATTTGAGAAATACCACTACATTCAAAATAATGCCTAGTTAAGTGAAGCACGCCTAAGAAAACTGTGTCTCCTACCACTTTAGCAGCTTCCACGCAGCGAACTACTGACGTGTGGTTATAACTGGCTGCCATTGCAATCATGAGTGATGTTCCTCTACTTTTAAGCCTACATTAAAATAAAAAATTTTAGGAAAGGGGAAAAAAAACCCAAAACCCAAGCACCTCCAAGATTTAGTAACATGGAAACAACACTGAGCATCAAAAAATTATCCAAACTCACCTTTATTTCCTTGCCCTTTAGGTCTCTGTGTAGCAAGACGGAAGGAGAAGAAAAAAGGGAAAAGAGAGAGAAAGGAAACGTGTTAATCAAAGAAACTACCGAAAACAAGTTATTTTCAACACCCCGCGTAGGAGTTGTACCCATCCCATCCTCCACTGCCACCAAATTCCCCATCAACCTCCGACCACCATACGGAACCGCCTGCTACAGCTCACCCGGCCTCGGCCCCGCGGCTCCCGCCTCGGAAGGCGCCCAAAGGCCCCGAGGAGCGATCCCTCCCCGCTGCACAGCGGCGCCCGCCCGCCCGCAGGCTACGAAGCCGACAGCATACCCGGCCCGGGCGGCAGGACCGCAGCAACTAGCGCCCAGGGCACCGTTATGGGGCCGGCAGCGGCGGCGACGGGGAGGAGCCGCAGCCCCACTCTAGGGTGGAGCTCCGGGGCTCGGGCCTTCGCCGAGCCCTGGGCCTCAGCTCCCTCACCTGATCCACGCTAGTGGCTGACATTCTTCACCGCAACCCGAGAGCTGCCGCCGCCGCCGCCGCCGCCTGGGCCTCTCCCCGTGCACTCACAGCAGTTGGCTGCCGCCCTCAGCCGCCGCCGAGTGTTCCAGCCGCCGCCGCCGCGGCCGCTTGCTCAGAAGCCAGAAGCAGGGACTCGCAATCAGGAGTCGGCGGAAGGAGCCCGTCTCTTCCGTCTGCACGCTCCTCTTCTCCCTCTTGCTCTCCGCTTCTCGGGTCCACAATGGCGGACAGATTCCTAGTCTCACTTCCGCTTCGAGTCGCCCTGACCTTCCGCTCTCCACTCTGACGTCCGTGCTCACCTCGCTCTTCCTCCCCCACCCTCCCGCCACAAACCTTGGCTCCGCCTCCGTATTTGTACGTCACCCAACTGAGACCCGCGCGGCCGACCGCCACAGGCGGATGCGCCGGGGTAGTAGCGCGCATGCGTATTTAAGAGCCTCAGGACTTCGTGGAGATAGTTTGTTGAGACTTTTTCCTCTTTCCATGCTGGAGGGTTTTGCGGCAGCGGAAAAACTAGCCAGGGCCAGATCGTATCGCATTCTGCACGTTAGTAAACCAGCGGCTAATGGCGGTTGTAGATTCCTGCTTAAGGCGCGAGGACTGGCAGCAGAATGGACGGAGCTGTCCCTTGCCTGGTGATCTAGAATCACTGGTGTCTCCCGAGGCCTCCAGCGCTGTGTGAACGACTGGAGTGAGTCACTGCCCTCCGGACAGGCTTGCTGGGCTGTCAGCCAGAGCAGAGAAAGTGAGGGGGTGAGAACCTTGGTCACTGACACACGTGGAGAAAAATAATTACTGCACAGTCTTCGTTCTCCCCGCACCCGTCAACTGGATAGGGGGGAAAAGTCACAGTTCAGCTGGGTTTTCTGAACTCAAAACGTGGTCGCTCCAAACGTGGATTTGTGTTTTAGGTTCCCCTCCTCTCACTGTGGTGTCCGTGATAGATAAAGTTGCCTTTGCAAGATTAAAGCACTGTTGTACGGAACGTTTTGTTCTGTCCTAAAGCGAGAAGGCTAGACTTCAGTGAACTTCAGCAAAACCAAAGAAAGCCAGTGTACAATATAATTGAAACTTCTTTTGGAATAAATACCATGCTGCCATTAGAAGCAGAAGATTCCTTGCCTTACGAGTGTGATGTTTGGGACTGCCAATAATGAAATAATGTCATTTGAAGAAGTGTCAAGTTAGTGAATTCCAGGATTCATTCTGAGTTTTATAATGCAAGAGTTTGGGAGGTTTTTTAGAAACGTTGAATAGTAGAGCTGGAATTTCTTGCGAACCTGCTTTTATGTAGAAATAGCCAAGGGGCTTTTACAAATCAACCCAGCTCCCTTTTTCTTGCATCTTGCAACTTCTGTGGAGACTCAGCCTGATTTTTCCTTACTGCTGAGCATCATTACTGTTTTCCCAGGAGGCTGCCTGGTTGGTCCTGCCACTCTGTTTTTCACCCTCCACTTAAATACTTACTGTTTTTAGATTCAAAAGCTCGCTGCTACTTTTTTTCATGACTTGAGGACTGAAGGGATCAAGAAAAATAGTGGTGTAAGAAGCACCTTATGAAATCCTGTAGGCTTTTCTGAATCTTGACTATTTTCGTGAAAAGCAATGCTTTGGAATCCAACCAATCTTGTTTAAATTCCTGTTGGCTTAGGATCTAGGCTATAGTTGTGTAGCGGTAGGAGTCTCACAACCTTTTAAAGCCTTTTAAGTCAGGTCATACGAACAATTCTTGGCACAAAGCAAGCTCTCAACAAATTGTGGCTATAGTTAGGTCGTTGGCTACGTGATTCCCACAGTTATAGTCGGCATTTATATTTAATGCTTATTATCTGTTCGGCACTGTGCTAATCAATTGATGATGCATCCTTGTGTGCTGATCAAAAAGTTATTGCTGTCCAGTTGGAACTGCCTCATAGCTGGCCCTACAGCAGGTTGATAAAGGCTGTAAATTGAATGGGAGGAGATTGCCCATTTTTCTCCTTGGAGCCACTGGTAGATTGAACTGTCTGAGATACATTACCTTTCAGCTGTCAGCAAAACTCTCTGCAGACTGCAACCAGAGCTCTCTTGTGTGTTAAATGTTATTTATAAAAAAAATTAACACTCAACTCATACCTCACTCATTGTGTTCTATCAAAACCAACTTACAGCCACGCCTCTATTGGGTTTCTGGATCTGTAAATCAAACAAGATTGATTGTGCCAATCTGTCTTTCTGGGAGCCACTGGTTGCATTTATAAAACTAGAGATACAGCCTTCAGATGGTGTCACCAGAGCTCCCTAAAAATTGAAAGTTTGAAAAGCTAACCAAAATAACATAATCACTATGAACATTAGGATTTGAGCACACAGAGTTTGACTCCAGAGTCTGTGTTCTAGTCAATACATTGCTTACTGACTACCATCCAGCAGGACCTATTCACTCTTGACCCTTAAATTGAATTTAATGGGAGAAGATTGCACATCTTTATCTAAAGCTGTAAATTGAGTGGGAGGAGATTGCACATCTTTAGCCAAAGGAGCAGCTGGTGTATTCACACTGTCAGAGAGGTACATCTTTAGTGTAAAAAAGAGCATGGGCTGTGTGGAGATGGCCCTGTCTGATCTTTATCAACTTCACAAAGGGGAACTGTCCCTGTAAACAAGATAAAATCAATTCCTGTGAGGCCAGACATGTCCCCCATGCTCCCACACCACTTTTTACTCATCTCAACACCAATCTTACTGCCTTACTGTCCAAAATCAGATGTGATACCTCGACCACACAGAACAATATTAGGGAAATCAAAAGGCTATAATTCAGGTTAGTAGCAGAATGCAGTCAGGACAGCTTCCTAAATGTAGTTGATAGCACCTCAGCCTTGAGCCTCTTGGCATTAGGTGGGTGTTAGAAAGTTCTTAGCCCTGACAATGATGGCTCTCCCCTTCAGTTGTCTAACAAACTTGGGCAAAAGGTTCTGTCCATAGATGAAAGCAGTCACAAGGTCAGGTCTATCTTGTATTGGGTCTCTGGTTCTCTGCTTCAGCCATGGCTGCTGCTGCTGTAGGTCCAGTGGGCACAAGAATTTCTGGGCACAAAGGACATGCTCTGCATGTCTGTTTCTCCTTTGGAGGTGGCCAGGTTCTCCAATTCCGCTGGTAGACCTCAATTTAATGGCTAGGCTAGCCATTTGCCTTGTGGATTGGTAAGACTAGTTAATCCCTTTGTGGATAGGCTAACATGCCCTATTTACATGTTCCTACCTACCCACATGGCTAAGTCAAAGTCCATGACTAGAAAAGCCATTTTGAACAATAAACTCTATACCACATTAGGTTAGCAGTGCAACTCTCTAGGGACTATGCCCCCAGAGCTCACTAGTCATTGTTGGGGAAAAGGGCTATAGATATTTGTTGAAATGGTTGTTGTTAGGTGCCATCAGGTTGAATATGACCTATAGCCACCCTATGAACAACAGATCTGATCCCTGTCCTATCCTGCATTGTTCTTATCATTCACTACACACTTGAGCCCTTTGCCACAGTAACTGTATCACTCTCTTTTGCTGAAGGGCTTCCTCTCTTTCATTGACCCTCTACCTTTCCAAGCATGATGTTCTTTTTTATGGGATAGCTCTCTTAACCTGTCCAAAGTATATGAGAGAAAACTCACCATCTTTGCCTCTACTGAGCAATCTGGTTGCACTTTCTTCAAGACATCCTTGTTTGTTCTTTTGGCAGTGTATGGGATATTCAATACTCTTTTTCAATATCATTCAAAGGCATCAATTCATCTTTCATCTTTATTCATTGTCCAGATCTCAGACGCAAAGCAGGTGATTGAAAGTACCATGGCTTGAATAAGGCACACCTTACTCTTTAAAATGGCATCATTACTCTTCAGGACTTGGAGAAGTCCCTGACAGTAAACTTTACTACAGCTATATGTCTCCTGATCTGACTGCTGGTTCCAAGTCTATTGATTTTGGATCCAAGTAAGATGAAATCATTGATAATTTCATTCTTTTTTCCCCATCTATCATGATGTTGCCTATTGATCTAGTGGCACAGATTTTTGTTTTCTTTTTTTTAATAGAACAGAGAGTGTGAAAAACAGGGGGCCAACAGTTCCCATGACTGAAGGCCCCAAGCCATGCTTCTCTGAGTATCTATTTGGAATCATAAGGAAGGTAAACAAAGTAAAATCATAAGGAAGTACAAAACAAAAACAAAGGATAATGGTGAAGTCTTTTACAGATAAGGCCACATTCCTCTTTATGCTAATCTCAGGAGGGAGGGATTCAGTTGATACAAAGTAAGAACAATGTTGACTCTTAGGGAACACCTTAGTGTCACAAGGTGACCATCAGCTTGTATTAAGCCTCCCTCATTTCCTGATATAGTATTTGGTCTACTATTAGTAAATTTGATATTCAGCTTCCCTCATTTCCCCCTCTTTTGTTTAAATCATAATTTTGAGATCATCAAGATGAGCATAATTTCTTTTCTTCAGGATTCATTTTTTCTTGTCTCTTAATCATTTATACATAATCAAATAAATATAACCAAGAAAGTAAAATAAGTTCACAAAAATATTTCCAATAAAGCAGCATTCCCTGAGGGTGAGCTTCCATTGTCATGTTGCCATAGTCCCCATCAAAACCAGTTCTGATTAATCTCCTTTGTCCATGCGTCCTTTGCCATTCCCTGTCACTCCTCCCTGAGAGATATTTCACCCTGATTCATAAGGAAAATGGGGCGATGGACTCTCTTAGCTACTTCCTGCTGGAAAGGGATGCTGTAGGTTTCAGGGTGAAGAACTTCTCTCACTACTCTGATGGGCCCTTTGGCAATAGGAAACACATAGACTATTGTGGAGATTGATTTTGGAATGTAGATGCACTGTTATCAATTGTGCTTAGGGATACACATTCATATCCTTGAAGGTGCATCATGGAACTGCTACAGTCTAACTAACAAGTTAAAAGTACATGAATCAACAATGAAAAGCAATAGTATTCCAATTACAGAGTCTAACGATGACACAAATCAAGTTACAGACGGAAGATAATCCTTAAAAGTCTTATTGGCTGGCACTTTGTCTATTATAGTGAAAGGGCACAACTATGTCATTTATTGTTCTCTAGTCTTGGTCCAACTTTCATTTACCGTTTTACAACTAGGAAATCCACATGCAAGGCAGAGGTGAAGTAAAGAACTTATGAGGTTTTCTGTCAATTCCAACAACTAAGG